TGTTCCTGCTCTTGCTGTCTTTCTCTCTGTCAAATAAATAAATAAAATCTTAAAAAAAAATGATAAATTGCTGGTATCCATGCGGTAGTTTTGTATGGTGTGTTTAATAGAAAATGTAAAATATTAGAAATGAACAAATGTTCACTCTGAACTGTTGATGGTATAAAGAAGAAATTAAAAGTATCTGCTTATGTTAGCTGAGGAAAAATAACATTTCTCAGCTTTGCTTATTTTGCCATCTATTTAAAATTTCTTTACAAAAGCATTTAATTTCCTTAACAAAGGTGTTCTTTACAAATGCCATCTGCCCATGTAATAAGTAATAAAAAAAAAAAACTAGATGAGTACAAAGACTAAAATATCACGCCCATTGCCACCACCCCAGGTCTACTCAGTGTTCACATGTTGGTGTTTATCCCTCCAAAATTGTGAGAAGGTGCTTTTTAAAAATAACAGTCCTATTGCAAGCATGTACTGCATCACATTTTCTGGGGTTGGTGACCAGGAATTTTCTTCCTTCCCTCACTTCTTTTGTTAATGTTTCTAACCAAAAGTTGTGCTTGAATACATCCATGTTGTAGGAGAGTCAGCTGAATAAACATGGAATGAAGTTAGAGACTCCTCAGGTCCCCTTCACTCTTGCCCATGATCAGAGCTAACTGCAGTCAACAGTGCACCCTGCAAGGCACCTGTAGCTGCCTTTACCTGCAGAGGGATGGATCTTTACAGTTTTTAAAAAACAAGTGGGGCGTATTATTTGGGTGCACATATGCTGTTCTGTGATTTGCATTTTCACTTAATGATATATTGATGAAGTTTTTCCATGTTCTACATAATCATATACCCATGGGGTCTATACTGTTCTGTTTTTAATTTTATTGTTTTACATTTATGTTTAAAGAACTAAATGGTTATATTCTTCTTACAAAAAATTTATACAAATAAAGCAAAAGTCTTTCTTGAATTACATGCCAGAGATAATTTCTCTTACCAGTATGGTGTACACTTCATCCTTCCTGGGTTTTTTTTAATTTTTAATTTTCATTCCAATATGGTTAACAGACAGTGTCCTATTAGTTTTAGGTGTGCAGTATAGTGATTCAGCAATCCTATACATGGCTCAGTGCTTATCACAACAAGTGCACTCCTGAATCCCCTTCACCTTTTGCATCCATCCCCCACCCCTCTACTCTCTGGCCACCATCAGTTTTGTTCTCTGTAGTTAAGAGTCTGTTTTTTGGAGTCCTTCCTGTTTTTTGTTTTTGATATTTACGTGCACACACACACACGTGGTTTTGGTGGATAATTTTTAAATTATTATCTCAGTTTTCCTGCAGCTTGCCTTTTTTTTTTTTTTTTTTACTTAGCAGTATATCTTAGAGATCTTTCCTTGTTAATACGTGGATATCTTAACTCATACTATATTCCATAGTATAGATAAACCACAGCTTATTGTAAACATTTACTGTTGGTTAACATCTACATTGTTTCTGTTACCTGACATTTATAAACCATATTAAATACATGCTTCTTTGTGTGCCTGTTCAAGTGTTCTCTAGTATAAGAAAAAAGAATTGCTGGGTTGATGGGGGTGTGCATTTTTAATTTCAATAAGAACTGCCAAATATCCTTCAAAAATCTGGTACCACCTTGATTTCTCACTGTTGGTGATTTTCTATATACCATTACCAATCTATGTGTTAGAAATATTTTAAAAAAATTTTGTTTTCTTGGATGATCTTATTATCACATTAATTTCTCTTTATTGCTTTGAATTTTTACTTCCCACTTTTATTTCGGATTGTTGGCTTTCTTTACTGATTTACAGGAGGTCTCTTTTTAAAATAAATATCTTTTTCTGTTTTGTATGTTGCAGACACTTCTTTTCTCTTGTTTAGGATGTATTTAATCACATCTAAGTATTTAATATTTTAAGTAGTCAACTTACTGTTCTTTTTATCTTCTTGAATTTTGTTTTTTATATAAGAAAAAGGCTTTCTCAACTCAAGGTTTATACAGATACTTTTATAATTAAATACTGGGGAAATGACTAAATTCTCTTGTCCTGGAGGCATTTCTAGAATTTTGTGTTTTTCTCACTGATTTGGAATACTACCTGTATCATAAGGTTAATTCTCAAATATATGTGGTTCTGTTTCTGAACTTGAACTCATTTCTGGTCCATCAAGCTAATTTGTCTGCTGCCAGTATCACACTTTTAAATGACTTCATCTTTATAAAAGTCTTGCTGTTTAACCAGGAACATTCCTCCCCAGGTTAGTCCTTAGAAACTGTTTCCGCGGTGCCTGGGTGGCTCAGTCATTGGGTGTCTACCTTCGGCTTGGGTCACGATCCCAGGGTCCTGGGATCAAGCCCCGTATCGGGCTCCCTGCTCAGCGGGAAGCCTGCTTCCCCTTCTCTCACTCCCCCTGCTTGTGTTCCCTCTCTTGCTGTCTCTCTCTGTCAAATAAATAAATAAAATCTTAAAAAAAAAAAAAACAACTGTTTCCTATGTATTTTTATATCCAGCAATACTTTATTTGTTTGTATTACAAAAAATTGCATTAATTCCTCTTGGCATTTTGATAGTGGTTGTATTGCATTTTAGATTAACTGAGGGGCAGTTTTGCAGTATTGCCTTTTTTTTTTAAGATTTATTTATTTATTTTAGAGAGAGCATGAGCGGGGGGGGGCAGAGGGAGAGGGAGAGAGAATCTCAAGCCGACTCCACGCTGAGCATGGAGCCCAACATGGGACTCGGTCTCATGACCCTGAGATCGCGACCTGGGCTAAAACAGTCAAGTCGCTCAACTGACTGCGCCACCCAGGTCCCCTTGTGGTATTGCCTTTTTGTCCAGAAATATGTTGTATCTATATATTAATTCAGATCTTATATGGCCTTCAGTCTCAAGGTCTGTGGTTGTCTGCCTGAAGGTCTTACATATTTCTTTTGTGTTGATTCTTAAAGAGTTTATTGGGTTTGTTGCTATAGTGATTGGACTTTGTAGTTATTTATTGCTTCTGTGTAGGTGGGTTTTTGACTTTTTTGTATGTTGATTTTTTAGTCGTAGAACTGTACCAAAGCCTATTAGTTCTAATAGTGTGTGTTAATTCTCTTGATGTCCTAGGGAAGCTCTGTCTGATAAAAATGTGAGCCTAGATGCAAACCACATACGTAAATTATAATTTTCTAGTAGTTGTATTAAAAAAGTAAAAAGAAACAGCTGAAGTTTATTTTAACAATACTCTTTAATGTAATATGTCCAAAATATTATAATATCAACATGGAATCAATATTAAAAAAATTAGTGCGAAATTTTTACTTTTGTATTAAGTCTTCAGAATTCAGTATTTTATACTTACAGCAAAATGCATTTGGGGCTAACCACATTTCAGGTGCCCAGTTCCCACAGTGGCTGGTGGCTAGTGGCTACTCTATTGGACAGTGCACAATCAGGTTGCTTGCAAATAATGAAATATTTTTCCTTTTTTGGGGGGTGGGAAGGAGGTTTGTTTTTTTCCCCCTTGCCTTAATGCTTTTGCTTGGAGCACCAGTAGTATGGTGGTGATGTTGGTGATATTGATGGGAGTTCGTCCAGTGTGTGACCGCTGTGGATTTCGATAGGTTTTAGAATTGAAAGAGGTTACTTTACTTTTCTAGCTTGTAAGAATTCTTAATAGGTTTTAAGTTTAATTTTAAAAATTGGCCAGATCATCTCTCCCTCCATCATTTTAAACTGACTAGAAATACAGGCATACCTCATTTTACTGTGTTTTGTTTGATTGTACTTTGCAGATACTGCCTTTTTTTTTTTTTTTTTTAAGGTTTGTGACAACCCTGCATCAAGCAAGCCTAATTGCCCCATTTTTCTAACCACATTTGCTCACTTTGTATCTCTATGTCACATTTTGGTAATTCTCACAATATTTCAAATTTCTTCATTAATGTTATATTTATCATGGTGATCTGTGATCACTTATTACAACTAGCAGAAAGCTCAGATGATGGTTAGCATTTTTTAACAATGAACTATTTTTTAATTAAGGTATGTACATTGGTTTTTTAGACATAATGCTATTTTTCACACTTAATACACTACAGTATAGTGTAAACATAACTCTTATATGCAGTGGGAAACAAAAAAACTCATTTGATTTACTTTATCACAATACTGTTCGCTTTATTGCAGTAGTCTGGAACCAAACTGCAATCTCTCTGAGGTATGCCTGTAAATCAATACATTTCTAGAATGATGAACAATTCTTGCATTTCAGAGACAAAACTTTCATGATCATGATGCATTTGTTCTTTTAACAAATTTTTCTGTAAGATTTCATCTGCTTTTGTTTGAGTCTATCTAAAAATCTCTTTGCATTTCTCCCTCTTGTTTTAAATGCAGTCGCTATTCAGTTTCTATATCAGGGAGATTTTTCAGGCTTTGTCAAATGAGTTGTGTAAATATGCCTCTTGTTTTGTACTTTGGAGCTATTTATATAATATGGGAATTGTTTGTACTGGGAGGGCTCGGTAGACTTACTTATAAAACATCTGGACTTGATTTGCTAGCTCTTTGACTCCATTTCCCACTCTTCTAAGGTAATTTGTCCATTCAGATTTTTGTCTTTGGCCAATTTTGGCATTTTGTATCTTCCTAGATATTTTAGTATTTTGCTTATGTTTTCAAATATATTGGTACAAAATTGTACATGAAATGTTGTTATAATTATGTAGATGTTTTGATATATTAAAAAAATCTAGAAAGATACAGGAAACTTAATAGTGGTTATCTATGGGAAGGAGAAGTGGAATTATGGGAGTAGGGAGTGGTAGTCTTAAAAAATTTTATATCCTTTGGCAATATGAGAATTTTCAAGTAATGAACTTGTTTTACTTTAACAATTGAAAAGAGTGTTATTAAAAAGTATAGAATATCGTACAGAAATATGTATATCCATCTTACTAGTCCCAGCACATCTTAACTCTGTGTTTTCTTCTCAAGCAGGCCTCTGGACTGTCTTCACCCTGGGTGGCGTGGGCAGCAAAGCAGCTGCCTCTCCAGAACTTCCTTCCCCTCTGGCCAACCAGAGTCTCCTGCTTCTGCTGGTGCTGGCCAACCTGACTGATGCTGCAGATGCACCAAACCCCTACAGACAAGCCATTATGTCCTTTAAGAATACACAAGGTTTGTGGTACTTCGTTCATGCCCTCCCTCCCTCCCTCCCTCCCTCCCTTCTCCACGCTTATCATGGAGCCCAACACGGGGCTCGAACTCACAACCTTGAGATCAAGACCTGAGCTGAAATCAAGAGTCAGATGCTCAACCAATTGAGCCACCCAGGCGCCCTTGAATATCTTTCTAATGAGGAAAGAGGGTATTGCTTATCCATATTGTTTATTGTTTTATAGTTGTGGAAATGATTCTCAATTGTATATTTTCATATTGGTTAAAGATGGGGAAAAACTTAGACTCCTCTGTCTGTATTCACAGGAAGGTCAAATGAATCTTAGATGAGAGCTGTGGTTCTTTATATCCATTTAAATTTACATTTTTATCTAGAGATAACAAAGCCAGTGTTTGCTTAATTTAGATCAGCCTGTCCTACCTATTAGGGATAGGAATTAACCAGAAAACTCCAAATGATAGGTGATTTGAAGTTTTTCATTTAAAGTCTGTATTCCAATTAGAGTTTTATAGAACTAAAAATTAGAACTCAGCAAACTTTTTCTGCAAAGGGGCAGATGGCTTTGTGGGGTCCTGTGTTGTCTGTCACCACCTCTTACCTCTGCCCCTGGTGCAAAAGCAGGCATAGATAATAAGGACATGGCATTGCTGGTTTCCACTAAAACTTATTTCCAAAACAGATGATGGGCTTGTCTGTGGGCTCTAAGTTGCCCTGAGGTAGAGCTTGAGTAGTTAGTTCCATGTTGAAAGAATAATCTCTAATCAAAAGATTACACCCCATTAAAAGAAAAAAGGATTATACTCTGTAGGCCAAATTAATACGGTAGCTAGATTTTCAAGATTTATGGCATGCTAGTATACTTAAGATGTGTAAGAAGTGAAGTTACTGGATAGGAGCATTCCTAAGGCTTCTGATACGTGTTGCCACGTTCCTTTCCAGAGTTCTTATGCATGTTTCTTAATAGTGCGTGAGTGTGCCAGTTGGGAGTACCTTTGCCAACTCTGGTATTATTATTTGTAGGGGAAAACAATAATAAGGAGTCTCTAACATTTGATAGATAAAAAGTGAAAACTCATGTATCTGAGAGTACTTTCCTATTCCCATTACTATTCCATTGTGACTTACTGGTTAAGAAAGCAAGTTGTGGAGTCAAGCAGACCTAAGTTTACACCACACTTCTGTCACTTCAGAGCTGTGAGGCCTCCTCCAGTTTGCTTAACATCAGGCCTCCCTGGCTTTGTCTATAAAATGGGGATAACATCACCTTAATAGAATTTGTATAAGTACCACGCAAGGTAAGGTTTTAGAATGATTAGCTCACATCTTACAACACAGCCTGATGTTCCGTATATGGTATTTATTGTCACTTTTGATGCGCAGGCCGGATGTTACTAGGTAGGGTTGAACCTTTTTGGGATAGCCATCTTTTTGGTGGATGTTGGGTGCAATGATTCTGAACATTGACTTTAGGGTTAGACATGGGTTCATATCCCAGTTTTTATTCTTTAAAGACCAGTGTTTTTATCTATAAAGCAGGGGTTAGAATCTCTACCTCACAGGGTTCTTATAAAAAATTAAGTGGGTTTTTATCATAGTACAGAGTCACTATATTATTGCTATAATTTTAAGAAGCAGTATAATGTAGTGATGCCAACAGAGGCTGATCTTGGCAAAGTTAATCTCTCCAAGCCTTTATTTCATCCTTTGTGAAACTGATCAAAATTATGACATGATCATTGTATGCATTAAAATAAGGGCTAATACATGTAAAGCTGTCAGTATAATAACTAGTTCATAGGACTTCTTAGCTAGTAATATTTAAATGTTATGGATACACATAACACACATACTCCATTTGCAGCCGTGTATAATACAGCTGGGTGAACACGTTACTTCGCTTCCAGAATCTTCTTACACCGAGTGTTCTGTAGATGTTGTAGTCCTTTTTGCACTCACAGATTACATGCAATGCTTCCTTTCACCATCCTTTGCAAAAATAAGTCACATAAAACAATTATTTTTAGAACCGTCAAAAATACAGTGTTAGGATTGAAAAAATAACCTGTATTTTATTTTCTTATTTTGGTGGGTTTTTTTTTAAAGATTTTATTTATTTATTTGACAGAGAGAGAGAGACAGCGAGAGAGGGAAAACAAGCAGGGGGAGTAGGAGAGGGAGAAGCAGGCTCCCCGCTGAGCAGGGAGCCCAATGCAGGGGTCGATCCCAGGACCCCAGGATCATGACCTGAGCCGAAGGCAGACACCCAACGACTGAGCCACCCAGGTGCCCCAATATAACCTACATTTTAAATGTAGGAGGAAAAGTGAGGGCACTTTGTAGTAAAATTGAAGACTTTTTAAGATAATTCTCACAAATGTACAGTTGAGAAGAATCTGAGAGGTATGGGACTGTGCTATCAGAGATTGTGTTGACACACATTTCTTTTCCATAAGAATAAAGCTTTTAGAGATGCTAAAGCAGTGCTTTTATTTTTTATTATTTTTTAAAGATTTATTTATTTATTAGAGAATGAGAGAGAGAAAGCACATGAGAGGGGGGAGGGTCAGAGGGAGAAGCAGACTCCCTGCTGAGCAGGGAGCCCGATGCGGGACTCCATCCAGGGACTCCAGGATCATGACCTGAGCCAAAGGCAGTCGCCCAACCAACTGAGCCACCCAGGAGCCCTAAAGCAGTGCTTTTAAAATTTTATTTTTATTTAGTTTTTGCTAGTGGTTCTTTTTTTTTTAAATCTTGGTTCTTTTTAAGATATTAAAGATATTAAAATATCAACTCGTTGTGCTGTCATGTTCCAGTGTTTTATCTGATAAGATTATACTTTTCTCCAAGTCTGTTGACCTGTCTTTCCCTCCTTTTTGGCTTGCTAACTTTGCTGGCTTCAGTGTCTAAGCAAGTCCAGTTAATTGGTAGGAAAGGGGCACTGTCAGTTTTGCAATATCAGGAATTTTCCCACATGGGCTGTTATTTATGATTTTCATCATGCTAGTGACTCTATTTTGAAAAAAGGTTTACCAAGAAATTATATACATTTTCCAGTAGTTGTTTGAGATTTGATGTATCCTACTGTGGAAGCTAATGCTGAACATACTGATGCTGATAATACTTTAAAACTAGCTAGGGGCACCTGGCTGGCTCATTCAGTGGAGTGTGCAACTCTTGATCTCAGGGTTGTGAGTTCGAGCCCCACGTTGAGGGTGGAGTTTACTTACTAAATAAATAATAAAAATAAGAATTAAAAAAATAAAACTAGCTAAATGATACGATGTTATCCTAGCTATTTTCTTCATAAATGGATTAGTGACATTGGTGAATGAGCCATAGTTATTCATTTGAAAAAAATTAACTCAGCTTGAAATCCTTTTTTCTTTTTAACCCTTACAAGAGGATTTTCTGTTTTATGTAGAAACTTTTGTATTCTTTGTCTCAGTATTTTTTATTTAGGATTGGTGGTCATTTAGTTTTGGTAACAGAACATGTAAGATGTCATGTTTATATCTGTTAGAGCGCTTTTGGCCTGGGTCTGTAGTTCTGTTTATATAAGCTCCTGTGTTCTTAAAACCAGCTTCATTCAGCTATATTAATGCAAAAATCATAATAAAGTCGAAGTATGTGACTTAGTTTAGTTGCTTTTTTATATTTGGCTTTTTAAAGATAAAATGTTACTCTCAAGTGGTATTTGCACATAGATTTATAATCGTTGGAAAGCCTTGGTTTAGATAGTACGGAGAAATAAACTGTCCCAGTTTTTTTTTTTTTTTCCCTTTGGCAAGAACATTTCAGTTCTACTCTCTCGGCAAATTTCAGTTACATAGCAGTGTGATCAACTCTAGTCACCGTGCTTTACATTAGTTTAATTCTTTAAGTAAAACTTAAAATATAAATTGAAATTTTGAACCTGAAATGTAGTGACATACAAAGTTAATGGGAATTGAATTGTACACATTGTGTTCTTACTATTTACAGAAGGCCCAGTCCAAAAAATACTGACATAGTATTTTAAAAATTTTGTGGTTTGTGTGTTCCAGATAGCAGTCCTTTCCCCTCATCAATTCCACACACTTTCCAGATTAACTTCAACAGTTTGTACACAGCTCTTTGTGAACAGCAGACATCTGACCAAGCAACTCTCCTCTTGTACACGTTGCTCCATCAGAATAGTAATGTTAGAACGTACATGTTGGCTCGCACAGATATGGAAAATCTTGTAAGTATCACACTACACATTTCACGCTTTTTGTATTGTTTAAACTTTTGAAGAGCCGTTTCTTTTCTCAGGAGGGGTAAGTATGTTTGGCTGGTTGCAAAGGTGATGCTTGAGAGGTTGACGGGGAGCTGCCACCAGGCACAGACAGAGGTGTGAGGTTTGCGGTGTGGGAGACAGCACCCGTGCTGATGTTGCCACAGAGCAGAGAGCACAGCAGGGCGACCAGCTTCCCTGTCCTTCAGGTCTTTCCCTGCCCAGGATCTAGCCTGATGGAGTCCTTCAAGAAGCACTGCGCGCCATTCTCAAGATATTTATACCCTCGTGGTTCTTTTCAGATGCTAAGTGTCCACCCATCAAGTTCCTGTAGTCTGTAGTTCCAGTTGCAACAAATTCCTGACGAATATGGCTAAGCTCAGTTTCCCACGCGTTGCATCCCTTCGGCAGGCCTAGGCTTGAGGTCTGCCTGAATTCAATTCTGGGAGTGTTAGAGTTATTTTAGGGTACCTGTGCCAGACAGCAACTTACATACACACTATCCTTTATTATGTGAGTGAAAAACTCCTGTAGGAAATCACGGATTTCCATTTGTGACTAATGTGTAAACAAAAATGTTTCTATGAGTGGAAAAGTAACCTTACCTCACCAAGGTGTTAATATTATAATTGAAATACATACTATAGAGATACCTGTGGGTTATTTATACATTAATAGAATTGTGAACATCCCTGAAATAGGCAGCAGCTTGCTGGTGGCAATAGGAACGTTCCCTCTGTACCAGTTTTTACAGGTTGACAGCAGGATTCACCAGGATTTGGTGGCCATTTTGTCAGTGTTAAAGATAAAATATTGAGTTAACATGGAATGTTAGAATTCATTTGAAGAGTACGTTCTGTGTCAAAGTGACCCTAAGGACAAAAAACAGGATGCATGAACCTGTCTGCACACAGCTATATGTGGAAAACATTGGTTATTTTAAATAGTAAAATTGGATGTAACAGTGTACTGCTCATGTGAGTAAAAACTTGGAGATGGCTTGTTTACTGAGGGGTGAGTGAGAATAAGCAGAGACAGTTCTGAGCATGATGTATCCTAGGGGAAATGATGGCAGTAAGCAGAAAGCCCATGACACCACCTGTTCTAGAAAGTTCCATGGTTAAGTATGTTGGTACATAAGAATATGCAGGGAACAGTCATCTGTATGTGATGACATACACCAGTAAAAATTTAAAAGGTTTTGTTTTGGGGTTTTTTTGGAGTGGGGTGGAGGGTTATATGCTTATTTTTGTTTTTAATTTCTCATATAGATTACTTTGATAATGTCTCAACTGATGTCCTTATCTTTTTGCCTTTATTCTATAATATTGAGACTATGATTAGAAAATGTGTTATTGGTAGGAAATTTACTGTGCTGATCTGATTTTGATTTTGTTAATAATTTTATTCTACAATTTTTCCTATTAAGGTAATGTTTGACACATTAGTGTTTGTAAGAATACCTTCTTGTGTATAAATTCCTGCTAGGCGGGAGGCAGACCTGCTTCTACTCAGTGTCACATGTTGGCCTAAACGGTCTCTGCAGACCCATTTTTACGTGGTGGCAGACCTTCATACGGGGTGATTGTTTTCCCTCCTGGTATCTGAGCTATACATGGGGAAAGTACCTTCAGGCATATGCTGGTTTGTGTGGTTTTCTTTTTCCTTTAAAGAAACCTATAACTATGAAATTAAAACAGAGTGCATAATAAAAGCATAAAGATTGAAAACATTGATCTTATAATAAAGTAATTGAAATAGTAAATTAAAATTTCTATTTGATAGGTTTTACCAATTCTTGAGATTCTGTATCATGTCGAAGAAAGAAATTCACACCATGTGTATATGGCCCTTATAATATTATTGATCCTTACAGAAGACGATGGCTTTAATAGATCCATTCATGAAGTGGTAAGTTACCATTACTTTGCTTAGAGTCTCAGAGTTATAGAATAGTCAGGTCCCTCTGCAAGATTTACTGCAGCCTTAGCATTTCTTCCTTCTTTTCCTTCTGGTAGAACACAAGAACCTGACTTAGAAAATGGTGTGTCTGTCTTCTGACTTATGAAGTGTTTTTTTTCTGAATGACTATTAGCCACTGTTAAAGACTCTGTCAAAATGGTTTCTTCAGTAATTGAGGCAAATGTTTCTGTTGCCACTGAGTTCATTTTTCCTGTTTCATTTCCCTTTTTTAGTTGTGGCAGAAATTGTCCAACAAGTTTGCCTATTGTATACAGAGTAAGTGAAGGAATAGGGAATAAAGAGAAGCCTGAGAAATTGTTTTATGTTTTTGAAAACGATGTAACATAATTTAACTCTTTCAATTTTAGTCTTGTGGGTGAGTTCCAACCCCACACTGATTTTTATCTTCCTCTTTGTATTTTCTTTATGTCAAAGTAACACATGTATATAGTTTTGGTTTTGGGTGTTTTTTTTTTAAAGATTTTATTTTTAAGTAATCTCTATACCTGATGTGGGGCTCAAACTTACAACCCTGATATCAGGAGTCACATGCTCCACTGACTGAGCCAGCCAGGCACCCCAACACATGTACACATTGTTTTAAAACTTTTATAGAAGTACTAGGTTTTAGTGCAACATAATACATCCTATGTCTATCCTGCACCTGATTCCCACTCCCCAAAGACCAATGCTATTAACTCTGTCCATGTTTCTAAATAACATGCTTGTTTTGTTATTTCTTGATTTTCCAGATTTAGATATTAACTATCCTCTTCCTAAAATGGAAAATAAGTCATAATTAGCTCTCCTTCCTGCACATGCCTGTTTCCCTGGGTTCCCAGTCCCCTTTCCACACGTAGACTTTTGCCCTCCTTCCATTTTAATACCATTTTCAGCTTGAGAACTCAGCTTTTTCGTGATTATGATTAACTAGTATTCTTAGCTCAGCTATGTAATGTATGATAATTGCACTTCCTTTCTTGTTCATGTTTTGGTTTTTCTGTAGCACATGATTGCCCAGTTTTTTTATTCATGTACCAGTCACTAATTCAGCTCCCATACTTCAACAGAACTGAGAATTCCCTCTAAATATATTAAAATACATTGCATATCTTCTTAGTTTCATTTTCTTCTTTGGCTTCTGTCTTCGGCCATGTTGGAGGCTTAACTCAAAAGTTTGGTGATCGATGTTTTATTTAGAAGTAAGGCACTAAAAAGTTGATTGTAAGTTCTGTGTGTGGACAGGACTTACTTGATTTTAACTTGCTCTCCATGGTCTCTTTCTCTGGGTACTCTGCTCTCTGTAGGCCTTTTCTTTTGGGCTGATCAGTTTCTCAGAGGGGGCTCATCCAGTGTTCCTGCTGGGGGCTGTCTAGTGGAAGAAGGGGCTAGGGCTTTCACTCTTCATAGGATACAAACACTTTTTTTTGTTACCTTCAATAGGGTTTTTGTGGCATGTTTACTCTTCTCTGATGATGTTCCATTAAGACTTTTTTGGTCTCTTATATGGTGTGACCATCATTTCAACTAAGATTTAGGGAACCTTGACACTGTAGAAAGAAGATAAAACAATACAAATTTCCTTGTGTTTAGCAGAGTACCACCAGAGAGAAAATATTAGTACTGATTTTCTCATTTTTATAGCATTTATCTTTAATAAGAAACAAAAACCAATATAATTTTTAAAAACATTTAAATTGAAGTATAAAATGTGCACAAATTTTGAAGGTATAACTTAGGAGTTTTGATGTACGTATCTACCTGTGTTATTACCACCCAGATCAAGTTACTGAACATTTCGCAAACATAACAGAAATGCCGTTTCCTGGCCAGTACCCCACCGCCAGTCAGTGAACCATTATTCTGACTTTCACTCACATAGTGTTGTTGAGATTTACCTGTGTTATTGCATCATTGGTTGGTTCTTCTGTATTGCTTGGTGCTATTCCACTGTATGAGTATGCCACAGTATATTTATCCATTGTCTTGGTGGTAGATACTTGCTTTTTTTCCCAGTTTGGGACTATGTTTGTTAAGACTGCTGTGCTCATTTTTACACTTGTACATCAGCGGACATATGCACTCATTCTCTTGAGTGTACACCTAGGGTAGAATTGCTGGGTCAAGGGCAGGTGTGTGTTTAGCTTGAAGAGACAGTAATAAAACTGAAGTTGTGTCTCACCATAAGTTGGCAGTTCCACTCCAAGGTTGTATAGGACTTGTACTTTTGCACAGAGAGTACATGCTTATTAATGGTCATCCAACATCATTGTTGATAATATTGAAAATGTTTAGAGGATGTTTAGAGGATGCAGAGTCCAACATCTGGAGAGTAAGAAAGGGGAATGAAAATGGGGAAGGGTACACAGCGGGTCTTCACCTATGTCTGTAATGTTGTATTTGCTTCAACAGCATGGAAAACAAAATAAAACAAGAAGTCACCAAAAAGAACTTTGAAGCAAATATGACAAAATATGTTAAGATTTGACAAAATTCAAGGATGGCTACACTTTTTGTTATATTGCTTTCTATACTTTACAAAAAAGTATTATATTTGGTAATTAAAGTTAGCATAGGAGTTTGCATTAAAATTAAACTTTACTGACTTTAAAATTAAACTTCACTGACTGTAAACTTTCCTGACTGCCAAAATGGTGATGGTAAGATAGGGAAGGCATTAGGTTTGTTCATATTCAGACTCAGTTCCATAAGGACTTCGGGATATTCCAGATGATGTTTCAAAATCAGGTATTTAAATCTTTTTTTTTTTTTTCCCTCTAGAATTTGACTTTCTTGTTGACCTTTGTTTATTTTTATTCTTTTCCTTTCCATATGTAATAGTAAATATGAGTAAGTAAATGTTTCTACCAAAGTTCTCTACATGGAATTATTAGCTGTGGATCTAATTGTCCATGGAATAGATTCTGGTATCTCATTTTGGCTTGAAGTTGCATTTCCTCATACCCAATGATGGTCAGCATTTTTTCATGTACTTTTCATGTGCTTATATATTGTCTTTTGTGAAGTATCTTTCCAAATTTTCCCTATTTTAAAAAATTATACTTTAGAAAGTTCATTGTAATTTTTTTTAAAGATTTTTTAAATTTATTTGAGAGACAGTGCGCACAAGTGGTGTATAGGGGCAAAGGGAGAAGCAGACTCCCCACTGAGCAGGAAGGCGGATGCGGGACGTGGGGCTCCATCCCAGGACCCTGGGATCATGACCTGAGCTGAAGGCAGACTTTTAACCAACTGAGCCACCCAGGTGCCCCAAGTTAATTGTAGTTTTAAGAAAAATAGAATTCATGTACCCTTTACCTAGTTTCCCTTAGTGACAACTGTAATTGCAAAACAGTAATACAATATCACAACCAAGACATTGGCATTGACATAGTCAAGATACAAGACATTTCCATTACCACAGGGATGTCCCTGTGTTTACTTTGTATAGCCATACTTTCTTTTTAAAAAATTGGGATTTTGGGGTGCCTGGGTGGCTCAGTTGTTGAGCATCTGCCTTCGGCTCGGGTCATGATCCCAGGGTCCTGGGATCGGGCCCCCCATCAGGGAGCCCGCTTCTTCCTCTCCCACTTTCCCTGCTTGTGTTCCCTCTCTGTGTCTCTCTCTGTCAAGTAAATAAAAAAATATTTTTTAAAAATTGGGTTTTTCTTTTATTACTGAGCTGTAAGGCTTCTTTATATATGCTGAATCACATGGATTTTTTCCCAGTCTGTTAAAGTAGTGCATTACTGATTAAGTTTTGAATATTGAATAAACCTTACATTCCTGGGATAAATTGCACTTAGCCATGATATATTCTCTTTTTATATACATTTGGTTAAGTTATGAGCTTTGATAGTTTGTGTCTTTCAAGGAATTGGTACATTTCTTCTAAGGTATGGAATTTATTCCTGTAAAGTTGTCCATAATTTTTTTTTTACTTATTATTGTTTTTGTCTTATTACTGTTTTTTTCCCCTTACCTTTTTATATCTGCACTAGCCATAGAGATGTTATTGCTCTTATTCTTAATGTTGGAATATGTATCATTTCTGTCTTATTCTACCTCTGTCTGGCTAGAGGGTTGTCCTCCCTCCCTCCGTCCCTCCCTCCCTTCCTTCCTCTTTTGAAAGGACCAACTTTTTTTTTTCTTGAAGATTTATTTATTTTAGAGAGAGAGTGAACATACAAGTGGGAAGAGGGGCAGAGAGAGAGGGAGACAGACAGACCCCCTGCTGAGCAGGGAGTCTGATGCAAGGCTTGATCCCAGGACCCTGAGATCATGACCTGAGCAAAAACCAAGAGTCAAGTGCTTAACCAAGTGAGCCACCCAGGCACCCCTCAAAGGACGAACTTTGGATTCCGTTGACTTTTCTCTGTTTTCTTCTATTTTAGTCCTACTTTTTATTTCCTTTCTTCTTACTTGAAGTTTTAACTTGTTCTTTTTTTTTTCGAGATTTTTTTTTTTAGGTAGAAGCTTAGATCTTTGATTTTAAATCTTTCTGCTTTGTTACTATAAGGAAAATATATGAAAATTCATAAGATTGATAAACCCCCAGAAAGATGATCAAGAAGAGAAAGAGTTACAAATGTCTTTTACTGAGAATGTATAGGAGATCAGGACAGATCCTACAGATATTAAAAAATGTTCAGAGGATACTATGAGTAATTTTATGCTATAAAATTTAAGTGTTGAGTGAAATGGACAAATTTCCTTCACTCCCAGAAAAAAACTTAACCAAAGCTCACGATAGAAAAAAAAAAAATCAAAATAGTCCTGTTTTCTTTTAAAGGAACTGACTTTGTAATATAAAATCATCCTAAATGAAAATTGTTGGTCCAGCTGATTTTACCTTTGAATTCTTCTGAAAACTGAAGGAAGAAATAACACCAGTCTTATACAAGCTCATCTAGAGAGTAGAAAAAAGGGAAATCTTTCCAACTCATTTT